AAACGCGAGATGTAATGGCTGACATACGCTGTCAGTAAACGAGAGTGACATACGTGTCTGTTAGGGCAGGGATATTGTTGAACATCTAAGGCATAAAGTCAGATAGCATGTCCTTCCGCTTGAGAAACGATATGAAGCTACCTGGTCGCGGATTGAAAGCATGCTCAGACAATTGAGCGTCAGTAAAACTCTGGTCAGCTTGTGTTTAGTACTGCTTCAGTTGGATAGCTTGCACAGTTAGACGTACAGGAAGTAGATCGTGCCTGCCAAGGAACGATTCAGAGCGATGAAGAGATGAAGCAGTGTCGACTACGCACCGTCCCTCCAGAGCAGCTCGCCAATGCCCATCCTCATCTTTAGCTTCCTCAGTTTGATAAAAATATCCGCAGTGCGGCCCCAGGTTAGTACGAGCACGACGGCCTCGGAAAATATGGAGAAGACCGCGCCAAATACAACTGGACAGATAATCATTGAAGTGTTATAGAAGTTCTTCGTGCAGGACTGCCACACTTACAGCTGAGATCATACGCAAGTCCGTAAGTAACGGTCTAATCATACACTTCAAATAACATAGAACATACAAGATTAGATCTGTGGAAGGGCTGCTGAAATCACTTTGCTGCCCGCATCCTCGGAACGGTGGTGGCATTGCTTGGAAGGTAAGGTTGGTGTCGTAATACTGGTTGCACTATTAAAACATCGCCCAGGGATACGCCGAAGTGGATGACGTACGATGCTGGCGCAGGGGCTCACCAGTCCCATGATAAGCACAATCGTGAGGACCCTTCGACTCTTGATGTATATGGCATACATCCGTAAAGCGGAGAAACCTGCAAGGTCGAAAAATTTAGCATAACGAAGGCATGTTACTCTCATATAACATACCAGCAATGGCGATGTACATGAGAATTGTACACACCCCACTCACTCTCCAGGCTACATTACACCTGTTGATATCGTTGTTTCAGTATTCACTATCAATTGCGAAGAAGACCAACGTCTACAAGACGAACAACCGCTTCTATCAGTCTGACGAGACATTAGAAAGCTATGCTCAGATACGTACGTAATCAGCCTGATGTGCCGTCCATCCGCGCCACGAGACTAGCTGAATGAGCCTCACGAGCCGGTTGATGAGTACAACGTAGCGGTTTACGAGGAAAAGCAGAGATGCCCCAGAGAACTTGCGACCCCAGATACACTCGACTTCCCGCGAAAATGTCAGGAAGTAGTCATAGCAGAAGAGCACTTTCGGGTTGCCAGATCGGCTCTCGTTCAGTCCGTTATTTCTACCAACGGAGCAATAGATGTCAACGGACCTGTGGCAGTAAGCTCGATGAAAGCAGTCGTGTCCCTGTCGCCATACGTGTTAGCCTGACGACGGTAGAACCATTAGAAAGCAGGAATCCAGCACGTACAGCACTCGAAGCAAAGGAGTGACTTGGGTGTAGTCGACCTGCGACATTCCGACAGCAGTGCTAACCTGTAGCGGAAGCCCACCAGGAAACTTGGGGGAGAGGACTCGCCTGGTCCGTCCCTTTGAGGCCGCGGCCAGCCCTGTACAGCTTTGTACATGTACAGCTCTCCGTCATCCATCTGTGATGCTTTGAAACGGTCAAAGAGAAGATGTAGATGCCCTGTGATTTATGATCTTGACGACCGGCCGGCTATCATTCTGCAGGTATGCGTACGGCACTACTCAATATTATGGATGGGCTATGGTTATTGTGTGTAGGCACCCTACACAACGCAGTGTGCACCTGCGAGTTGCGAAGAGGGTTCCCCCGCCAAACGCTCAAGCAAAAAAGGCACGTGACTTAGCGGAGGGTTTTCCACGCCTCTAAGAGCGCGCTTGCTTGATTGGGAAAGAGGCGCTCCAGCCGGTTCCCATCCTTCCCGGAACAGCCCACCACGCTTTCTCTCAGATTTCACCCTGGAATACAAATTCATCCGGTTGGCCGAAGCCGGGTAGTATACACATAGCCTTTAGCATCGTAAGGTACGTGAACCATCATCCCAAAAAAAGAAGGAAAAAAGAGGAGACAAAACAGTAAGCATTTTGAAGGGGCCATTAATGCTACCACATGCGCGTTGTGTCTGACGGCTGTTGTCTTGCCATGCGCAACATCGCAATATTCGAGGTCATACTCGAGAACTGTGACCACGTCGTCAGCTCTGCGTACAAGACACGGATGCGCCAAAAAAATGAACGTACGCCGTTGCCAATGAGAACCTGCGCCCGCTCGCCGATGAGCATGTCCAGCGTGTGCGACGTGTACCTCTGCTCAGGCGTGAGCACGAGGTCCCGGCTCGTCGCGACGAGCTCCCAGTCGTGCGCGTTAAGAAGCGCGGCCTTGAGGTCCGCAAGCCACTCCCGGTCGCCGTTCGACATGATGTACACGTGCCGGAGGCCCTCGCTGGCGCTGCCCGCGCGCACCTGCTCGACCTTCTCGACGATCTGCTCGATCGTCGGCAGGCACCGCCGCAGGTAGACCGCCATCCGCTGCTCGTGCTCGCCCTCCGGCGGCACCCACAGGTCCGGGAAGCTCGGGAACGAGTTGAACGCGCTGAAGCCCGCGCCCCAGTTGCCCAGGTTCGGGCAGTGTTCCATGAAGTCGCCCCGCCGGATGTGCAGAGCGAGCAGGCCATCGAGGCGCGCGTACGGGTCGACGCAGTTCGGGCACGTCGGCGAGGTCACGTACGGGGCGATGAGCGGTGCCGGAGAGAAGAGGTGCCGGTTCGTCTCGAAGGCGGTGTGTGCGAGCTGGCCCCAGCCGAAGAGTTGGAGGATGGGTGACTGCGAGAATGTCGGCCAGACGGGCATTATCTCATTGGGCGTGCCGAACATGCTGGCGGGACGTCATCGGTTGTGCGACGGATATATGCACGGATAAAACTTACAAGACGTGGAAGATGCTGCCAGAATAGCGCTCGACCTCGAGACACGGGTCGTCGATGTCTTTGATGTAGTCGACCCAGGTATCAAGGATCTTGCGTGCATCTGCGCCTTCGCCATGCAGCTTGCGAATTTCATCAGCGCGGATGATAGTTTTATTGGGGCATATCTGATCCCAGTACTCCTTGACCACCGCGCGTGGGGTGGGATCGTTGTCACCAAAGGGTCCGCCGACGATGGGGCCTGTGAAGTAGAAGTAAGTGACTATTCTCGTGGACAGGAAGTAAAGAGAAGCCTGCCTGATATCAGTGCAGACAGCGGTATTCGCGATGGAATCGTTTTACCGCCGAACTGTGCGTACTCTGGACCATCACGATCCCAGGTGAAGTTGTCGAATACATATCTGCGAGTGTCCTTTGAGTGCTTATATGCGGTACAAATAGCCGAGCTGACTCACGACCGTCCAGTCTCATAGACAAGCTGCGCGTTCATAATCATGTCCTGCATAAAATTGCCAAATCCCGACTCTGCGCCACATGTGAGCAAGCGTAACGTGTGAGATCGCAGGTACAACGTACGATATGTGTGATCCGCAACCCACATATACTTCCGTCCACCTTCGAACGGGCGTCTTGGGTCGTGCTGCGGGAGCGCGAGTTCTGCGCGATGATACTCCGGATACAAAGGCGGGAGCGGTTCCGGTACAGGTTCTGGCTCCGGAATCTCCTGTGACATGTCCGTGCCCCTAAACCTAACCAAGTAGAAACCGACAAGGATGACACTCGCGACCGTCGCTACAAGTATCGCAGTCGCCCGGCGTAGCTTGAGGAAGCGTGAAGCACGCAAAGAGAACGGGATTTGCTTCCTTGCACCCTTTTCGGACGAGGGCAGGAGGTCATAGTCGTCGCCGGGCATGCTGGGGCCAGTGTATGAGCAGGAACCGAAACACAAGACGGGGGGAAAGAGGGATCTTGCGCA